GTTTTGTAATAGATTCTAATACCTGATTGAGCTAGATCTTCCTCATTTTATTGATCTTTTTCAACAAAGTAGCCTATGATATTCCTTCTAATTTATTTTTCCAAATAAAATGTAGGTATATTTTATCAACTTCTGACAAAAATGTTCTGAAATTTTAATCGCAATTTTAGAGTTTGTAAAATAATTTAAGAATAATTGACATTTATAAATTATCTTCCTGTTTATAAATATCATTCTAATTATTCAAGTTCTGTTTTATATCTCTCCTGAAATTTTGAAGCATTTTTAATATAGGTTCTGCACATTCCTAGATCAATTTCTTCGATATATTGTATTTTGTTTTCTTTGTTTTATTGTTTAGAAAGCAATTATCCACATACTGGGGTGCAAATGGGGTTTTTGGGGGGGTGTTTATTCTGTATTTGAATGAGCTTACTGAACATTTTTTATTAGATCATGCCTTTTTAGAAATACAAGAAACTCTAACACAACATTTTAAAATAGGAAATCGAACTCATGTTTTTCCTATTTTTAATAACAACACTTATACTACATCTCAATTAGCAAAATGTTGGTTCTTGGTTTAAATGAAACCTTCCAATGAACTATTTTATAGTTCTTTTCTTAGGAAATTATATTAAGATTTATTAAATACTTTTTCAGGATTGATTAAAGGACATTTTATTATTTAATCTATTAATAGGTATGTATTGATTAATAGTTTTTAGGATATTGGACGGTCTTTATATTCGGATGATAAACCACAATTGGTGGTATTATATTATTCTTTTATTATTGTTTTAATATTGTTCTAAAAATTTAGTTAAAATTTATACTCATAAGTGAAATTAGTTAATATTTTTGAGATTTTCTTTTATTATAACTCAATTTGAACCAGATCCTTGATTTCCACTTATGGGTGATTTTTCTGGACTTATAAACTCATTTATTGTTTTGTTTTGGGGTGTGTGTGTGTGCGTGTGTGTGTGTATCTTCCCTAGTTGAATTAACTAGAAGTTACAAAATAACACTAAACAAGGAGAAATAGTGGTTAAGCGTGAAGACTTTGGAGTCAGACTGACGAAGCTTCTGATATCAGCGCCACCATTCAGAGATTTTGATTTTGATGAAGTTAATTTCTCTAAGCCTCAGATTCCTTATCTGAAAATGAGGGTAACAATAGTATTTACTTCTAGTGTTTCTGTGAAGATATATTGGGATGATAATGCAGAGAAAGTAAAACACCTAGTGCCTGGTGTTCAAGTTCTCAATATCAGTGCTTCTTAATCTAGTTTAATATTCCTTTAGGAATCTGATGAAAATTTTGGACTCTTTCCCCCAAAAATACACACAGATACATATAAACAAAACTTGGATATAATTTCATAAGGTTCGTGGAAAGGTAGTCCCTAGATTAAGATACCCTATTCTGTATTTTAATTTAATTTTTTTGGTCTATGTAAATGTGTTAATTGCAAAGTGAAATAAGTCAGAGGGAGAAGGTCAAATACCGTATGATCTCACTCATTAAGTAGTAGATAATAAACAACAAACAAACACATAGAGACAGAGATTAGATTGGTGGTTACCAGAGGGGAAAGGGGGAGGGAGGAGGGTGAAAGGGATAATGAGGCACGTGTGTGTGGTGATAGATTGTAATTAATATTTGGGTGGTGAACATGAGAACATGATGTAATCTATGCAGAAATAGAAGTAAAATGATGTACACCTGAAATTTATACAATGTTATAAACCAATGTTACCGCAATAAACAAACAAAAAATCTCCTATGTAACAGTTATTCTTTAATTTTTTTATATTTATCATAGATTTTGCTTTTCATGTTTTACCCAAGTATTATTTAGTACTGAAAGATTCATGCATGCTATATCTTCATATATACCTGTATAATATAGTAATATAAATCAATCTTACTTGTTTCTATTAGACCCACATAATAGCTTACTTCTTTTTACAACTAATGTAGTCTTTCTTGACTATTATTTAGTTTCTGCTTCCTCTTTTTCCTCTTTTTTAAATCTTTATTTAAATTTGCCAGTGAGGATCATTATACTCATTACTTCCTGTTCTCCCCATTTTATAATGTACTTATTTTGCTTATGTCCCTTATTTCCTAGATTATATTTTAGTCCTTTTAAAATCTTAAATTGTACGCTTAGTTTGTTATTTTTCTATCATTCTAAATGAGAAAAACTCTTGACAGTATTCAACTGTTTTTTTTCAATTATTTTTTTGAGGTCATAATGGTTTATAACATTGTGTAATTTCAGGTGTACATTATTATTTGTCAGTTTCTGTACAGACTGCATCTTACTCACCACCAATAGTCTAATTTTTATCCGTCACTATATACATGTGCCCCTTGACCCCTTTTGCCCACCTTCCAATCCCCTTCCCTGGTAACCACTGATCTTTTCTCATTATCCATGTGTTTGTTTATCTTCCACATATGAGTGAAACCACGCAGTGTTTGTCTTTCTCTTTCTGGCTTATTTCTCTTAACATCATACCTTCAAGGTCCATCCATGTTGTTGCAAATGGGAAGACTGTATCTTTTTCATGGCTGAGTAATATTCCACTGTATATCTATACCACATCATCTTTATCCATTCATCATTTGAAAGGCACTTGGGTTGCTTCCACAACTTGGCTATTGTGAATAATGCTGCAATGAACATAGGGGTGCATAAATCTCTTTGAACTGTTAATTTCAAGTTCTTTGGATAAATACTAAGTAGTGGGATAGCTGGATCATATATGGTATTTCTATTTTCAGTTTTTTGGGACATCTCCATACCGTTTTCCATAGTGGCTGCACAAGTTTGCATTCCCACCAGCAGTGTATGAGTGTTCTCTTTACTCCACATCCTCTCCAACATTTGTTATTTTTGTCTTGGTAATTATAGCCATTCTGACAGGTGTAAGGTAATATCTCATTGTAGTTTTGATTTGCCTTCCCCTATTAATTAGTAAGGCTGGACATCTTTTCATTTGCCTCTTGGCCAACTGTATGTCTTCTTTGCAAAACTATCTGTTCATATCCTCTGCCCATTTTTTGATTGGGTTGGTTGTTTTTTTGCTCTTGAGTTGTGTGAATTCTTTATGTATTTTGGAAATTAACCCCCCCTTGTCAGATATATGATTTGCAAATATTTTCTCCCAGTTGGTGGGTTGTCTTTTAGTTTTGTTCATGGTTTCTTTTGCCTTGCAGAGGCTTTTTAGTCTGATATAGTCCTATTTGTTTATTTTTTCTTTTGTTTCTTTTGTCTTGCCTGAATAGACATGGTATTAGAAAAGATGTTGCTAAGACCAATGTCAATGAGTGTACTGCCTTATTTTCTTCTAGGAGTTTTATAGTTTCAGGTCTTACATTCAAGTCTTTAATCTCTTTTGAGTTAATTTTTGTGTATGGTGTAAGATAATGGTCTACTTTCGTTCTTTTGCGTGTAACTGTCCAGTTTTCCCAGCACCATTTATTGAAGAGATTTTCCTTTCTCCATTGTATGTTCTTGGCTCCTTTGTTGAAGATTAACTGTCTATAGATGGGTGGTTTTATTTCTGGGCTTTCAATTCTGTTCCATTGATCTGTGTGTCTGTTTTTTTGACAGTACCATGCTTTTTGATTACTATAGCTTCATAGTATATTTTGAAGCCAGGATTGTGACGCCTCCAGCTTTGTTCTTTTTTCTCAGGATTGCTATGGCCATTCAGGATCTTTTGTTGTTCCTGAAATTTTAGGATTCTTTGTTCTATTTCCGTGAAGAATGTTGTTGGGATTCTGATTGGGATTGCAATGAGTCTGTAGATTGCTTCACGTAATATGGACATTTTAACCATGTTTATTCGTCCAATCCATGAGCGTGGAATATCTTTCCATTTCTTTTTGTCTTCTTCAACTACTTTCAATAATGTCTTATAGTTTTTATTGTATAGGTCTTTCACCTCCTCAGTTCAATTTATTCCTAGATATTTTTTTTTCTTTTTGTTGCAATTGTAAATGGAATTGTCTTCTTGAGTTCTCTTTCTGTTAGCTCGTTTTTAGTATATAGAAATGCAACTGATTTCTGTAAGTTGATTTTGTACCCTGCAACTTTGCTCTAGTTTTTGATTATTTCTCCAAGTTTTATAATGGATTCTTTAGGGTTTTCTGTATATAAAATCATGTCATCTGCTAACAGTGAGAGTTTCACTTCTTCCTTTCCAATTTGGATACCATTTATTTCTTTTTCTTGCTTAATTGCTCTGGCCAAAACTTCCAGTACTCTGTTGAATAGGAGTGGCGAGAGTGGGCACCTTTGTCTTGTTCCTGTTCTCAAAGGGAGGCCTTTTAGTTTTTCACCATTAAGTATGATGTTAGCTGTGAGTTTGTCATATATGGCCTTTATTTTGTTGAGCTACTTTCCTCCTATACCCATTGTATAGACAGTTTTTATCATAAATGGATGTTGGATCTTGTCAAATGCTTTCTCTGTATCTATTGAGATGATCATGTGATTTTTATTCTCATTTTGTTAATGTGGTGTATCACATTGATTGATTTGTTGATGCTGAACCATCCCTGCATTCCTGGTATAAATCTCACTTTATCATTGTATATGATCCTTTTAATGTATGGCTGTATTCGGTTTGCCAATATTTTGTTGGGGATTTTTCCACATAATCAGCAATATTGGCCTGTGATCTTCCTTCTTTGTGTTGTCCTTGCCTGGTTTTGGTATTAAGGTAATGGTGGCCTCATAGAATGAGTTAGGAAGCATTCCATCTTCTTCAATTTTTTGGACTAGTTTGAGAAGGATAGGTATTAAATCTTTTTTGAACGTTTGGTAGAATTCTTCAGAGAACCATCTGGTCCTGGACTTTTGTTTTTGGGGAAGTTTTTGATTACTATTTCAATTTCTTTACTTCTGATTGGTCTATTCAGATGCTCTGTTTCTTCTTGATTCAGTTTTGGGAGGTTGTATGAGTCTAAGAATTTATCCATTTCTTCTAGGTTATCCAATTGTTTGGCATATAGTTTTTCATAGTATTCTCTTATACTCCTTTGTATTTCTGTGGTATCCATTGTAATTTCTCCTCTTTAATTTCTAATTTTATTTATTTGAGCCTTCTGTCTTTTTTCTTACTAAGTCTGGCTAAGGGTTTGTCAGTTTTGTTTATCTTCTGAAAGAAACAGCTCTTAGTTTCATTGATCTTTTCTATTTTTTTTAGACTCTATTTTGTTTATTTCTGCTCTAATTTTATTATTTCCCTTCTTCTGCTGACTTTGGGTTTTGTTTGTTCTTCTTTTTCTAGTTCTGTTAGGTGTAGTTTAAGATTACTTATTTGAGATTTTTCTTGTTTGTTGAGGTGGGCCTGTATTGCTATGAATTTCCCTCTTGCTGCATCCCATAAGAGTTGATATGTTGTATTTTCATTTTGATTTGTCTCCAAGTATTTTTTAATTTCTCCTTTGATTTCTTCATTGATCCAACAGTTGTTCAATAGCATGTTGTTTAGTCTCCGCCTGTTTGTGACTTTCCCATCTTTTTTCTTGTAGTTGACTTCTAGTTTCATAGCATTGTGCTTGGAAAAGATGCTTGATATGATTTCAATCTTCTTAAATTTATTGAGACTTGCCTTGTTTCCCAACATGTGTTCTATCTTTGAGAATGTTCTGTGTGCACCTGAGAAGACCGTGTACTCTGTTTGGGGATGGAATGTTCTATATATATATCTATTAAGTCCATCTGATTAAGCATTTCATTTAAATCCACTATTTCCTTGTTGACTTTCTGTCTGGATGATCTATCCATTGATGTAAGTGTGGTGTTGAGGTTCCCTACTATTATTGTGTTCCTGTTAATTTCTCCCTTTAGGTGTGTCAATAGTTGCTTTGTATAGTTTTGTACTCCTGTGTTAGGTGCATATTATTTATATGTGTTATTTCCTCTTGGTGGAAAGTCCCTTTATCATTATATACTGCCCCTCTTTGTCTCTTATTATCTTTTTTAACTTGAAGTCTCCTTTGTCTGATATAAGTATGGCAACACCTGCTTTCTTTTGCTTGCCAATTGCTTGGAGTATTGTCTTCCATCCCTTTACTCTGAGCCTATGTTTGCCTTTAGAGCAGAGATATGTTTCCTGGAGGCAGCATATTGTTGGGTCATATTTTTTAATCCATCCAGCTACTCTGTATCTTTTGATTGGAGAATTCAATCCATTTACATTTAGAGTGATTATTGATATATAAGGGCTTAATACTGCCATTTTATCTCTTGTTTTCTGGTTGTTCTATATTTCCATTGTTTCTCTTCCATTGTATTTCTAACTGCCATTTCAGTTTGGTGGTTTTCTCTGGTGGTTTTCTTAGGTTTCTCTTTATTTGTGAATTGTGGCTCTGCTCTGATTTTTTGTTTAGTGGTTCCCACGAGGTTTGTATAAAATATCTCATAGATGAGATAGTCCATTTTCTGATAGTCTCTTATCTCCATTAGCCTAAGCAGGTTCCATCCCTTTCCTCTTCCCCTTCAGAGTTATTGTTGCCACAAATTATTCTTTTTTGTGTTGTGAACAACAGAACAAAACTGTTCTATTGAAAACAGCTCACTCCACCATGTGACAAAATTGAAGTGTTTATAGTTATTTTTGATGCTTTCCTTCCCTTTATCTTTTATGTAATTATAAAGTGTTTGCTAACATGTTCTGATAGAGAACTGCAGTTTTCTGATTTCATCTGTCTGTTTATCTCCTTGCTCAAAGATTTGTAGACTTTTGCCTTTTTGTTTCAGGTATGAGAGCTTCCTTTATCATTTCTTGTAAGAGAGGTCTAGTGGCAATGAACTCCCTCAGCTTTTGTGTATCTGGGAAAGCTTTTATTACTCCATCGTATAGGAAGGATAGTTTTGTTGGATAGAGTATTCTTGGCTGAAAGTTTTTGTCTTTCAGTATTTTGAATATATCATTCCATTCTCTCCTAGCCTGTAAGGTTTCTGCCAAGAAATCCACTGAAAGTCTGATAGGGGTTCCTTTGTAGATTATTTTCTTCTGCCTTGCTGCCTTAATATTTTTTCTTTATCATTGACTTTTGCTAGTCTTACTGTTATATGCCACAGAGAAGGTCTTTTTGCATTGATGTAATTAGTTCTATTGGCTTCATGTATTTGTAAGTCCCATTCCTTCCCAGCTTTGGGAAGTTCTCAGCTATTATTTCTTTGAATAAGCTCTCTGCTCCTTTCTCCCCCACTTCTCCCTCTGGAATATCTATAATCCTTATGTTGCTTTTCCTAATTGAATCAGTTATTTCACTAATTCTGTCCTCCATAAAGTCAGCTCTATTTTTTAAGGATTCTAGATTATTTTTTATCTTATTAATTGTATTCTTCATATCCAGGATTTTTGTTTGGTTTTTATAATAGTTTCAATCTCTTTGGTGAAGTATTCCTTCTGCTCATTAATTTTATTCCCAAGCTCTCTGAAGTGTCTTTCTGAGTTCTTGTAACTCATTGAGTTTTTTTATGACAACTATTTTGAATTCTCTGTCATTTAGATTGTAAATTTCTGTGACTTCAGGGTTGGTTTCTGGAGACTTGTCATTTTCCTTCTGCTCTGAATTGTTACTATATAGTTTTTCATGGTGTTTAATGAACTATTCCTTTGCCAGTTCATTTGTGGCAATACCAGGTTGCAGATTCCACCTGCTACCACTTGGGGAAAGCAGGAGCTATGTTTCTGATCCCACCTCGTCTGTTGGAAGTTGTGCAGCTATGGTAGGTGCTTTTGCAGGATGGGATAGCATTTGCATGTGCACCAGGCTATCGCTCCCTCCACTTACAGTCATGCCGGCCTCTGTGCTCAGTGGGCAGGGCTTCTTCATGAGATCTGAGCCAGGGCCACTCATTGGGGCCATGGCAGCACTATGGTGCTCCCGCAGGCTGGGATAGTGTTCATGCACATGTGAAGGAGTGCTGCCAGCTCCTCTTCCAGTTGCACCAGGGTGCATCCCCACTGGTGGGGCCACCACAGCACGGTGTGCACTCCCATCAGCCACCATAGCATTTGTCCATAGTCTGGGCTATCCCTGACTCCTCTCAGAGTAGCACCAGCCACTGTGAGAGGACCTGTGACCTGGCTCACTGCGGCCGGGGAGGGGTAGGGGAGCATTCAACTGTCTCCACTGCTTCCCAGAGACCCAGTCCATCTACCTTCAGATGTATAGCTGCATGGGTCTCTCAGGCATCCTGTTGTGCTGTGTGGGTATCCTCCATTGGTCAATGAATGTCCATTTAGTTGTAATTCAGAGGGGAAGAGACAAAAGGAACAGCTCACTATGCCATGTTGCTGACAAGACCCTCAAGTATTTTTAAGTACTGTGAATTTTCTAATTTTTAATATAGATTTCTCATTATCATTAGAGAATAAAACATATATCCTTTTATATTTTGAAACTTTCTTTGGCTGAGTATATGATAAATATTTGTCAGGATTCCATGATTATCTAAAAAGATAATCTTTGTTATCTCATTTCATACAACTTATTTGTATCTCCTTATTAGTTAAATTAAAGATCCCTTCTTTTGCAGAATTCTTATTTTTACCCACCATATGCTGATAATTGAATGTTTAATCTTTTCTTATAACTGTGTTTCTATTTCTCATTTTATCTTTAATAATTTTATTTAATAATTTCTGTTTCTCCATGTATTTTTAATAATTTTAATAATTTATATCTTTTATTAAAAAAATTATTTTTAATAATTTTTCAATTTTGTGTCTATGTGGTTTGGAAGATTTCATATTATTACTTTATTATTAACTATGTCTCATTGTTTTGTAATAATTGTATATATCTCTCTTAATACTCTCTCATTTGAATTAAACTTTGTGTGATATTAATATGGCCCTTCTGATTTATTTCTATGTTTAATATAATTTTCCCATGCTTTTATTAGGAAACTTTCTTTTATTTAATTGTGATTCTTGAAATTATACTTACAAAAATATGTATTATTTTCCTTAGTTATCTTCTATAAGTCTTATTACTTCATAATAGGAAAAAATAAAACATTTCCAAGTAATTTTTTTAGTATATTAGTCTACCTCTGCTTCTTACTTCACTCCAATCTTTGCAGCAAACATTCAGCTCAAAAATGTATCAAAAGCAAACTCATCTAGTCATTTAGTGATGAATGCCTATTCTTTTTTCTCAAGTTCCTTTCTATACCATCTGGTCATACATCCTGGAATATAGGAAAGCATTTATACTGCGATTCTTAATTCTAAGATATCGCTTGTTGTAAAACACATTAGTAATTTGATAACTGTTCTTTTTTTTTTTTTTTTTTGTGAGGAAGATCAGCCCTGAGCTAACATCTGCCAATCCTCCTCCTTTTGCTGAGGAAGACCGGCCCTGGGCTAACATCCGTGCCCATCTTCCTCCACTTTGTATGGGATGCCACCACAGCATGGCTTGACAAGCAGTGCGTTGGTGCGCGCCCGGGATCTGAACTTGCGTACCCTCAGGCACCCACAGCAGAGCGCGCACACTTAACCACCATGCCACCGGGCCGGCCACTGATAACTGTTCTTTTGAAAACAAATTACATGTAGACAAAAAAATTATATACTTGCTGACAGTTGCTCATGTTGTCCCATAGATCTGCATGTGACTTTTTTCTTTAGTATTGCCAATGTCTGACTTGTAGCCTTCATCACATTTAAAATTTGAAGATCCTTTGTCCCTCAGCAGTTATGCATGGCATCAGACTATCATGCTACTTTCCTAATCCTTGTTTATGACCTGGACCATTTTAGCATTTTTAGGACTGCAATATGATTTCCAAGTACCTTGAAAGACACTAGTTTCTATTTCATCAAAATCTTAATTTTGCATTTCCCTAAATCAAATCGTATATCCCTAGAAGTTAAATACCTTCCACTGAAAATTCTACTGGAAGCTTTTGATAGATAGCTATTCAGAACCCATGAATAATTCAAATCAATCTTCCCAAGATTTGAAAATTACCTAATATATTCCAAGAGATTCCATTTCAAACAGTGGATCTCAGATATTTAGATTTTCTTATCCAATAGAGCAAAGAGATTCTGAGTCCATCACAAGATTTCCTACCTTACCATCTATATCACTGTCTTTTCAAAAAATAAAAAATTATTTTCACCTCAAAAAAATCAAGAAGAACTGTTATCCAGATCACACATACCAAGGAATAACAACTGTGTCACAACGTATCTTTCCAGCTGCTGATGGGCAGGCTTCTTTTGCCATCAATTAGAAGATACATTCCAATATCAGAAATATTAAAATGTGAGAAATACAGTAGCATGGGTGAGAGAAAATGTGGCAGTAATGTATTTCAACTGGCTAAAGCTTCAGCACGGCTTTGTGGGCGTGAGTGGGAATGTAACCACTCTTGACATTATCATGTCTGTGGAGAAATACATTCTTATTTCTAAATAACTGATTAGATATGATTTTTACAAAGAAATTCATTCCTTTGTATTTAAAGTAACATTGTCATTTCTACAAGAATATTTAAAACCCATGTGTTGTATATAGCCAAAAGGTGGGCCTCATTTTCTAGTACACTCTCTCTTATCACTAAGAAAAAGCCACTAAAGTTACATTGCATTTGTTCTCTCAACTTAGTAATTACATCTTTTTCTTGTCAGCTTTGTGGATCCCTTACTGCAATTTGAGTCTCAATTGAAGATAATAGAGTTATCCTTTAAAATGGTATTTGCTATGCCAAGTATTGACAAAGTGAAAGAAATGAGGGACAATGAAGATGACAAAGATGACCTGGAGGTAAGATTTTGCTTCTTTTAACCCTGATGAGACACCGTTAGGCACCACAGCACTCCTGCAGAATCTCTCTCCATAGGTCATAGTCTTTGTTTTTTTCTGCTTCACTCTTTTTAGATATAATAGATAAATACTATATTCCAGCACTAATCTATACCCCTGGACTCCTGTGAATTCTACAACTCATGGGATGTAATGGATTGTATAGGATTTATAGGAACAAATAGGTAAATAAGTTTTTGGTTAATTGGTTTAGCAGGGACATGGAGTTTACCAGCAAGTGCTGCAGTTAAGGGAATGTGAGCCAAGAAAGGTAGACGTAGGAAGAGTCCTTTAGGAAGAGTAGCAACTTCTGTTGTCTCCATTTCCTCAGCAGAGCTACACAGAGCACTGACCCTATAAGGCATAGAAGTAATTCACGGCATATGGTATTGGGCGTGGTCTCATATCCATAGCTACCTCTCTCCTTTCTTACCTTCAGTTTATGGGGAGAACTCAGGACCCCAAGATGCAAAACTATAGACATTGGGTAAAATTTTATCTAAGGCTGCCTGGCTGGCTAGTTGTGAAACACTTTTGTTTTTCAGAATTTATACCAAAATATTTTAAACACATTTGAGGACACTCTTCTGATTTTAGTGTCTAAAGACCTCTACAAGCTACAAATCTTGAAGGTAAAGTAAAAGGAAAATACGCAGCTTTATTTTCTTGTCATGAATCTAAAGAACACACTATATTTCACTTATTATTTACCATTTGCCCTACCTACATCTCCTTCAAGTATTTGGCAACTGAAAATTTTTCTTTACCTCCCAGTATGTGTGATTATCCCCCCAAATGAGGTCACTTCCCTTTAGTATTTGAATTACAGAGATGCAATTTTAAGAATTCAGTTTTGGGAGGATGGCATCAACAGACACTTGAGAAGCCAACTGTTATGTGGCAACACAAGAGTGACACAACATGGGGCAGTAGAGAATAGGATGATTGGCCTAAAGCACCTTCAAGTCCATGTAACAATGAACCATACTTTAATAGTGTCTATATGCCTGTTCTTCCCTAACAACTCTGGGGCTAGGGAATCCTGTGAGCATCCTGTCTTCATGGATACCACGATATCAAAGGAAGGCCTAACAACTGGTCCACAACCTCACTTTTCATCCAAGACTTCATTGTGTTTTTAATGTCTCAGCCAGAGACAGAAGACTACTCTGGACATCTCATGGTCTTCAATTTTGCATTCCTAACATTGATGGCATCGGGGGGCAGCTGCCTGGAAATACTGGGAAACTAGGTTGACTGACTCTACCAGGAGCATCCATGGGTTGTGCAAATCATAAAATACATTCAAGTAAAGAAGCGGAATTGGTATCTATGAAGACAAGAAGGAAAATGAGGGAAAATAAAATATATTGAGCTAATTTTTGCCTAATTCGAGCCAAATGTTTTCTGTGCATTTTTAAAATTTGAACCTCACAACCCTTCAAAGTAGTTATTATTACCCCATTATTACAACCCTTTTCCCAAGTGTGCTCTTTAAATCAGCCCACACTGCTTATTGAGCATTTACTCTACGTCAGGCACCAAGCTGAATACTCAATATACGGGTTATCTCATTTAATCCTGAAAATAACCCTATGAGGAAGTTATTATTAGTTCTCTCGTTTCACAGATAAGAAGATGGAGCTACTGCTCCACTACTGCCACATGCTCCACATGTGCCTGCTAGTGAGTGGAGGGGCCGCTCTAACTTGGGAGCCTGTCACTTAACCATTTTGCTCTTATACCTACTGTGTCTAGAAATTCTCCTAATCCTCAATGAGATGTGAACCTCACTCTTGGAAAAGACAGAGGCTGACCTCCTGAGATTTAAAGACTCTTCCACCCTAGGAAACGGACTTCAGAACAGTTTTATACAATGGGAGCAAGTGAAGGCGAAGAGATTTGCCCAACCATTGGCTTAAATACTATCAACTCCAACAGACTGTCTTAGGGAGTCCATTAACAGTGGTTGGCATGTGAGACATATGCAATCTTCTTCTCTTCCCAGGGTTGTAAATACGTCCCTGCGTCTGATGATTTAGAACAAATAGATGGAAGTTACAGCAAGACAGATCTGAATCAAAATTAGCAAGAACTTTCTAACCGAGTGCTTCCGGGAATGTGCTCGGCTACCATGAGCCAGGAGATACCTGGGTGGTGATTTTGCAACGGAAATTCTGGGACAAGATGACATTTCAGAATCAGATAACATTTCAATTCTTTTTTTTCAACTGTAAATCAGATCCTGTGATTTAAAAAAAAAATGAGAGAATATGTATTTTGAAAGAAAAAGAGGAGAAGCATCTGATAATTCCATCATAGCCTCCCGTTAAACTTTTCACAGTGTCTGGCAAAGTGACTGTTATAGTGGATATTAGTAAATATTTGTTGGATAGAGTTAAATAAAATAAAACCCAGCTATAGTTGCTATGGTAGAAGTAATATACTAGATAGCAATATACTAGCTTGTTGTCACATTTTTAAAATAAATATAGGTTAGATGTGAAGTAATTAGGAGACCATGGGAGACCCTTGACTTGGTGAAGTTGGAGACTAGAAGGAGGGGACTTGTGGAAATGGAAAATTGTGGTTCTAGGACGATTCTTGTGTTTTCAACAGGAAATGGCCGTGTGGATGAGTGAAGATAGTTCGTACCTGCAGGAGAGAGCCATGGTGATCATCAGCAGGGTGCTAAGCTTTGCATGCGGGAAAGTCAGGAGATATGTAAGTCACAGAATGTAACCAAGCCACCTGCTTCTGAAGACTGCATTTCTAGAGTGCTGCTTTCCAATTCTTGAGTCTTGAGAGGGCTAGAAGCCTGCTTGGTATTGTTGTGCTGACAGGTTGGGATATTGGGAAAGGAGTCAATATCCTACATGACGTTATGTCAACCAGAGCAGAGTTTCTCAAACGATTGATTAAGTATGAGCGTGTCAAAACCAAGTGACTCTCTAGATTCTCCTCTGTGGACCACAGCATTATCTGTAAACTTATAAATTCTTCCATCCTTACTTTCCTTCTAATTTCTCCTTTTCCTAAAATATTTTTTTAAAACATTATTTCTTTATTTTAAATTTATATAAGTAATTCTTGAGTACTTTCATTGCAAAAAATGCAAGAGATAGAGCAGAAGTGTTCCTTTACTATCCTCTCCACCCCAAACCCCTCCCTAGCCATGTTGGTGGAATGTGTGTCCTGCCAAACAGCTTTGATGAACACACTCACATATACATGCACACACTGAGATATACGGCTTTGTTACTTAGACTTTCTTTATTAAAGTTACATCATATTTACACATGGTTCTGCAATTTGCTTTTCTCACTGAGCAATACGTCCTACAGATATTTTCATGGCAATATATGTACACTTATTTCATTCTTTTAGCCTAAGTATATATCCTATAGTTTTGAGGTGTTATAATCTACTTAACTATTCTTCAATTGATGGATATTGAGGTATATTGTAGTTTTTTCTGCTTCAAACAATATAAAAATGGCCATCTTTTTGTAAATATGTGTGTACTTACAAATGCTTAGAAAGATAATATTTAGATCAAAAAGTATGGATGGTGAAAGTTTAGTAATGCACAATTGTGCTCTCATTTGCATTCCTGTGAATATTAGAGTGTCCATTTCCCCACGCCTTCACAAACACTGGGATATTATCAGACTTTTTAATTGTTGCCTTTCCGATAGAAAACAAATAGCTATCTCATAACTGCCAGTATTTACTGAGCTTTTCTGTATTTTGAATGACATCATTGCCTGCCTTCTAAGAAACTCATATTATCTATGAACAGTTCTCTCTCTTATGGATACTGTATGTCCAGCCTCTGTTTTGCAACTCATCCTTCACTGTGGTTTTTAAAAATATTCTACTAGTCGCTTCCCTGATTGCTTCAATCATTTCAGGAGTTCAGAATAAGGGGGGTCAGAAATAGGCATTGGTGATGCCATCTTCATGTATCCATTTTGTGCTACTCACACAGTCTCCAGACATATGGAGACAAAAAGCCTCGATAAGCTTATAACAGATCTGAATTTTTATTACTTTGTTTAAAATCAGCTTTGGAACATTACGTAGTTTACCTACACGGGGGAAATCCAGTCCATTGATGTTCTTGCATCATGCTGATTCCTTATTTCAGTGTCCAAAAGAGAGATGGAGTGACTTCTTGTTTAAATCTTCTGACTCTCTGGCCTGGAAAGGCAGCCTCCCTCTATTTGTAAAATGCTCCAGGCTATCCATTCAAATGTCTAAAATGTTCATTACAGAAAACTATGCAAGTGAGGCTTGAGACTAAGTATAGTTTATCACTTCAGCCTGTTTTCTGCATAGTTCCTAATACAATTTACTCACTCAGCAAGTATTTGATGGTGACTGTCTGACTAGGGTCTATTCACACGCTTCTCTCTGCATTTGAATACATATATATGTATATATATTCCACTCAGGTAGCAGACAAATGTTTTGGGATTTCATCTTCTTCTATCACTTCTTCTCTCTTTCAATTACAGTTGTAAAGCTCATTATCCTCTGCACACAGGCCGCCCCTCAACTGTGAAAGAATAAATGTGTAAATTCACATGAGCAGCAGAAGGCTCTCATAAATTGTTGAGAGTTGCTAGCAGTAACTGAGACTCGATGGAGAAGCCAAATGGGATAACCACTCTGTTTTGCAGTGTTCACTAAATGCCACCAGGTGGAAGCACACCAGCGTTTTCCAGAACATGGGAACTCAGAGCTAGCCTCAGCCAGCTCATCACAGTCAGGGAAGCATAAACCTTTACTGAGTTAACTGTCTCTTTAAAATAATGTCTTCTAAAGATGGTTAAGTCAGTGAAATTCACAGAGGTGGGGGACAAATATATAAAACAAAACAATCAAAACTATTAATAAATTAAAAGCTAAGCTTCCCACAGGCCTAGTCTGTGTATCTCTATATCTGACACATTGTAAATCATCAATAAAGATTTGTTCTGCCCTTCTCTAACTAAATGTAACTACCTATTCTGTTCTCAGGTACTGTCCATTCACTGGATAAAATCTTTTTTCTTCATAATTACCCTAGCCTATGTCTTCCAGAGTCTCAGAGGCCCTCCTCCTGTTGAACTATCCTGACCATCATTTGTATTCTATCAGAAATGTTTTTTAAAGTGGTAATTCCCCTTACATGACCCAGGTGCCCATCAGAGTGAAGAAACTCCTACATTCAAAGAATATTTGTCTCTTCAATTAAGCTATTCAATTTTCCAACAGGCGAAGAAATGCGAGCTAAACATGTCATCTTATAGCGTTAACAGAAAGAGATTTTTCCTGGATTTCTTCCTTTGGCACATCAACACTTAAAAGATGGGTGGAGGATTTCCAGTGAAAGCTAACAGTTTGTCCACATGCCTTTATCTCCTCTCCCTCCAGAGTCCTCACAAAATGATAGTACTGAAATTTGTTAAATTAGTGAAGGGTTTTCAATGGGCTAGCAATGTCAACAAACTTCTGGATGAAGAATAGACAGAAGATGCTAACTGACAAAGCCTGGCAGGGGAAGCTGAAAGGCAGGGGTTCATGAATATTAGGATGAGGGACAGCTGAAAAGGGAGGCAATTTGCCCTGTGGAACCCTGGAGTGGCTAGAGCTATGGTAAGTCCAAGTAATGATGAAAGGTAGGAGGCAAAGGAAGGCTGAAAACATATGTATTAACTGAAAGTATTCTATGAAAACGTATGCACTATTATATGAAAACATATGTATTAACGGAATACATAATATTCATTGAAAGTTTATGCAGAAGACTCTATATTGCCTCTCATTCCCCTTTACACACACGCTATACTCCTCAGGGACATGAGTCCATTGGCAAGCAAAATTTGAGGAATTTTTTTCTCAAAACAATTGTAAATTCCCTGAGAAAATCATCTTGATTCTGTTGTTTAGATATACTTCAGCATGACCCCAGTCTCCCCACCAAACCACTCTAAAGCACAGCTCACCCATTGACAAGACTTGCTCACATACAAAACCCCACCAAGAGGCATCACACTCTTTATATGACTAGACAGCCAAGATTTACCAGACATTTGAGAAAACCCTCCAAATACAAGAGACAACTCAAGGTAAATAAAGAGAAAAAAATGATTGTCAAAAATAGAGACAATTCAGGGTATAGATGAGAATTTAGTCTCAAAAAGAGTAAAGAAGACATATTTATATGCCAAAAGGAAATATAACTAAAATGAGCATGGCCTATGCATTGAACAATTTTACTTAGTCACAATAATGAGACCACATTATTGATTTTCAACTGTTAGCATCAATCTATAGGCCAATCACAAAACACTCAAATAAGTTACTGAATACAATGTAAATGCTATGAACTCAACAATGCAAAAATAAGTGCAGGGAATAGTTTAGTGGTTCTTCAACAAGTTAGACATAGAATTACCATACAACCCAGCAATCCTAGGTATGTACCTGAAAAAATTAAAAATAGGTTCAAACAAAAACTTATACACAAATGTTCATAGCAGCACAATTCAAACAGCCAAGAAGTGGAAACAATGCAAATGTCCGTCAACAAATGAATGGACAAATAAAATATGGTATAATCACACAATGGAATATTACTCAGCCATAAAAAGAAATGAAATCTGATCTATGCTACAATATCGATGACCTTGAAAACATTATACCAAGTGAAAGAAGTGAGATACAAGAGGCTACGTGTTGTATGATTCCATTTATATGAAATGACAGAATAGGCAAATCTATAGAGACAGAGAGCAGATTTGTCGTTGCCTGTGGCTGGGAGAGAGAGGAATAAGGAATGCCTGCTTAATGGGTATGTGGTTTTCACTTGAGGTGATAGAAAAGTTCTGGAACTAGATAGTGGTGATGGTTGCTGAACATTGTGATGCCACTGAATTATATGCTTTAAAATGGTTAAAATGGTAAATTGTAGGTTGTGTGTATATATATATTTTTGTTTTTTGAGGAAGATCAGCCCTGAGCTAACATCCATGCGAATCCTCCTCTTTTTTGCTGAGGAAGACCTCAGCAAACAGCTAACATCTATTGCCAATCCTCCTCCTTTTTTTCCCCTAAAGCCCCAGTAGATAGTTGTATGTCATAGCTGCACATCCTTCTAGTTGCTGTATGTGGGACGCGGCCTCAGCATGGCCGGAGAAGCGGTGTGTCAGCGCGCGCCCAGATCCGAACCCGGGCCGCCAGTAGTGGAGTGCTTAACCGTTAAGCCCCGGGGCCGGCCCTAGGTTATGTATATTTTTTACCACAATAAAAAAATACAAAATAAAGTACAGGCAACAGAAGTAGAGAAATAGAAGTGATAGAAGGAAGTTGAAGGGAAATAAGAGTGTTCCAGAATACTTACCTTATAAAGTGGAAGATCAACAAGATATCTGTATATCATGAAGCTAGAAATAAAAGTATTACCATATTATTAAAACACAAAAGTGGAAAAACTAAAAATAGTAATGTACTATAATGGGAATTATGCTACATTGAAAGGATTGTGGCAAAGTAGAAGGATGTAATTGAGCTAAACCCTAATTTATCATAGCAGGAATAGATAGGCAATGTCCCAAAGTGATGTTACAACAGATGTGGAAGTCAATTGTCTAAAGATATAACGGTGACTTCCAGAAGAAACAGCTAAGAACTTAGAAGTGGTTGCCTCTGGAATTTAGCACTTAAGACTATCGTTGTTAAGACAGGAACAGGAGGGGCCAGATCTACAAAGAAGAAGGAATCCAGTAAGAAAGCGTCAGAAAGCCAAACAGCAGTACTCAGGCTTAGGAATGAATACCGAGAAGCTACTTTTCTCCAGGTCTTAACTTTCTCCTTCTTTCAGCACTTGGATAGATTTTCTATAAAAGCAGAGCCATATTATATTGCAAGTTCCCAGATCTTGTGTTTTGGGGTTGGGGGAGTGGTAACTGTAGTTGGCACACTTCTGAAGGGACTGTGCAGGGCACAATCAGTGTACTCTACAGTCCACATAGTCTTACCCCTCTCTTAGCCTACCCTAGGTCATGTTCCCCCTCCTCCTCACACAGGTGATGCAATCTAAACATGGCCACATCTACTCTGCTAGAGACACACACCTACACAGACCCTATGTGCCAAACAGAATAGATAGACTACTAGTAGCTTCATGTACAACAACACATGCTAAGAACTATACATTCACAAGCTTATGAGAAGGAATAATCAGAGAGGACATTTGAGGCAAAAACTATGCTACAATAAGACTTTAGGGCCAATCTCCTGTAAATGGTCCTCAGCTTGAGTGAACCAAGCTGTGAGAAGTACTCCTTCCTTTATCATGCCCAATAGAGAAAGACAATTCCTCACCCTTTTTCCTTGGGCCCATAATGCAGTGGTGGTTCTTAAAATCTTGGCATTAGATGGAAGAAGAAACCTGAAATGCAAATCCAAAGAAAAGAACACTCAGGGAAAGAAAACATTTCTTCCTAAGGCCTAGAGTGAGGCAAGCTCTGCTGTATGCTTCTAGATTCTCCTAAATCATAGGACACCTAAAAGAGGGGGATCTCCCGTCCAGTCTTAGAAAGAAGTATGAGTGGAAAGAATCCAAGGAGAACATCCACAGAAGCAAAGATTGTCTTCCCTCGTCTACTGAGACCATCACTCTCAGCATTCTAATCCAGTTATGCCCTTGGCCCATGACCCAGATCACTTCACATTCTTCTTCAGCAATGACTGTGTGTGTGTGTGTGTGTGTGTGTGTGTGTGAAAGACTGAGAGAGAAAGAGAGGTGGGTGGGTCAAGCAACATGAGAGGCAGGGATAAGGGGCATGAAAGAAGTAGAAAGGAGGAGAAATAGGCCTTGGGATCCCCCCAGAGGATTGACTTGGACTCTAACTTTTCCCGGCAACATTTGCTCCAGTCATCAAAGCATCTGTCTAGGAAAAGTAATCACTTGTCTTAGAGACAAGGAGACTCTGCAGGCCCACTTGTTTTCCAAACTTACCTGTGGGTAGAACCCACAGGTAATGGGTAATGGTATTCATACCTTCACAAAAGCAAAATGTTTCTTCTACCTCTCCTCTCTTCTTTTATGTCTCCACTCCCTTCTCTATACACATTTGATCTGGCCAAACAAATCAGTCAAGATGAAAATCTAAATATTTGAGCAGCCAAGGAAGTTGTGGAGGAAGATACATAAATGTTGTGGTAGTAGCTTTGACATCAGCAGTAAATGCTCTGAGTTTTAAAAAATTAATTTCTTTGGGAAGAATCAGCAATTCCAAGTGGAAAAGTCACATTTCTCCAGTGACTTACGGAGTTATCTGAAGTATTTCATATATGGAGAAGGAAACATGAAAGTTTTTGGATATCCACCCCCCAACCTGGTATCCTAGGAATTTGTTACCTGCAAATTGCTACCTAATTCATGGACTAGAAACTAACATTAGTTAAGTCACTATTATTTCTGAGCACTTTGCTAGGAACTTTCTTTTTTATCATAAATATCACCCCCTCGGTCCCCATCATAACTGTGACAAGATAGCGTTTGTTATACACATTTCATAGATAAGGAAATTGAGGCTCTGTAACACAGCCAGGATTTGAATACAGATTTTGCGAACTCTGAAACTCATGCTCTAATCTTAGTCTTGTATATATATTAGAGGGTTAGATGCAGACATTTAATGTTCACTATGTGTAGCCAATGCATTGTTCTCCTTTGTTTTTCCATTAGGCAAGTTTTGATATTCCATGTTTGGGTATCCTGGCAGCAGAACTCTTTCTTTTGTGTTTCCATACTGATCCCTCAATCATACAGCAAGCATCCTCAGGAATGTATCACCTACTCTGTATTGCAAAGTATCAGGATGGTAAGAAAGATTCACTGTCTTTTCTAAGGGTTACTAAGAATCTGTCCCTAATTATTCTACTTGTGGGTCCTAAGAAGGCTCTGGGTCTGTGGATTTCTAAATCCTGCCCCAAGATCTATACTTCACTTTCTAAAATGTATCTTTTAATCCTTTTAGAATTATAAAAAAATGCTAGAAGTGATTTGGTTGGTTCTTCAAGATCTATAAAGTACTGCACTTACGTTAGTGTTGGGTGTTAATGGTGGGGACAGGAATGCTGGGCGGAGGCAGGGAAGAAGGAGAAAAAGAAAGGTTACCAATGGGATTTTTAAAAAAGAGGCATATTTTTTCCCCTTAGTGGGGCATCAGATAGAACACTCAGATTCCTGCTTCCACGGTGGGGAAAAATTAGCCCAAGACTAAAATAAATGCTGCTCTGGCCTGCCTAACAAAGCATAAAAGCAAGACTTGAAAATATCAAACTATTTCCAAATAACTTTAACAGAGAATAAATTTACCCTCTCATAATAAACAACTATTAAAGATTGTGTATATATTTTTTATATACAAAATAATGGTTCTCACGTCATTGGACATCAGATAACAAAGGACAATGATTCCTGAGAGATGAGAACAAATGAACAAATGAGGTGGGGTCTACAATTGCCTAAGCTTATTACCTAGAGTAAGTTTCTAGACTGTAGCACAGAAAGGAGTAACCCAATGATCTCACCTAACTGAAGAGACAGAATTGAGAATCCAGAGAGGCCAAGATAGCTAGAGTTCACAGGGCAGAGTACCAGAGAGGCGTGTACAAAGAGAACTCCAGAGATCTGCAAAGGGTCCCCTTTAACTATTTGGCTAGGTAGTGATAGAACACGCAAGTGGGGAAACTGCCTGAGGCTGGAGGGGAAGACACCAGAAAATATTAGAGAGAGAAGTCCAGTGAATTCACAAAGGCTGGGAATAGTGCCTGTGCCTATAAGCCAGAATTCAAAACTTCGTAATTCACAATAGTGAGGTAGAGTACTCAAGGGGATTTTGTCTCATTAGCAGGAAAAAATTATCCCTAGATTAATTGTTTTAGTGCCACTTAACGAAGCTTAAAAACAAGACGTAAAAGGATCAAATGACCTCCAAATACTTTAATTGCTCATGAGAACAAAGCTCAAGACTACTTTTAGGAATACAAAAATCCCAGACTCAACAAGATAAAATTAACAACATCTGACATCCAATAAAAAATTATTAGGCATACAGAGAAGCAGAATACAGCCCATAATGAAGAGAAAAATGAATCAAAACTGACTCAGAAACAACACACGTGATAGAACTAGTAGAAACGGATATTAAAATAACTATTATAACAATATTCCATTTATTTAAGGAGTTAGAGGGGAAGATGAATGTGTTAAAGAGAGACATAGAAATATTTCTAAAAGACTAAATTGAACCTCTGGAGGGGAAAACTACAATATCTGACATGAAAAACACTCTGGCCCGGATTAACAGTGTAATCTTAAAGACAGCCAGAGGAAAAAAGACACATTTCATTTAGAGGAACAAAGGTAAAGATGACAGCAAATTTCTCATCAGAAACAATGCAAGCCGTAGGCAATGGAGCAACCTCATAATGTACTGAAAAAAAACTGTCAATCTAGAGTTCTTTAACTAGCAAAAATATCTTTCAAAAAACAAAAGTAAAGACATTTTTAGATATATGAAAGCTAGTAGAATTCATCACTAGCAGATCTGCACTATAAGAAATACTAAAGGAAATCCTTCAAGAAAAAACATGATACTAGAGGAAAATCTAGATCTACATAAAAGAATGAAGAACACTGGATTGAAACTACGTAGGTAAATATTAAAATTTTCTTTCTTATTATTAAATCTCTTTAAATGATAATCATCTGTTTAAAGCATAAAATAATAACGTAAAATGTAAATATATGACAGCAATAGCACAGAGGCTTGAAAGAGGGTGAAGTATGAATAGTATTTAAGTTTCTTATACACAAAGTCATGAAATATAACTTAAAAGTAAACTGTGATAAGTTAAAGATGTATGACATAAACCCTAAAGCAACCACTGAGATAGTATAGTAAAGAGTTATATATAATGAGCCAAAATGGAGATAAAATGGAATCATAAAAAATTATCAAAAAGAAGACAAAAAAGAGGAAGGATAGAAAGAAGAACGGATGGGAAAAATAAAAAGCACATAGTGAAGTAAAGACTTAAACTCATCCAGAATAAATTTAAATGCTCTAAATGCCTCCAAAGAAAAGGCAGAGATTATCAGATTGGATAAAAAGCAAGACTCAACTATAAATAGGCTGTCCATGAGAAATCCACTTTAAATGTAAAGACACAAATAGAATTTAAAAGTTAAAAGTTAGAAAATGATATAACATGCTAACACTAGTTAAAAGAAAACTGGAATGGCTATATCAATATCAAAAAAATATATTTCAGAGCAAAGAATGCTTCCAGGGAAAAAGAGAGTCATTTTATAATGATAAAGAGGTCAATTAATTAAGAAGACATAATAATCCTAAACACTTACATACCTGAAAACAAAAATATGTTAAAATAAAAAATCAAAATACATTAAAAACTGATAGAACTGCAAGAAGTAGACAGATCTGCAATTACAGTCAGAGAATGCAATACCTCTTTCTCAATAACTCATAATTACACAGAAATTCAATAAGGATATAAACTTGAACCAACTTGACCATATTGACATTTATAGAACACTGGAAAATGAACATTCTTTTCAAGGGAAAGCAGAAAATTTATCAAAATAGACCATATTCTAGGCAATAAAACAAATCTCAAGAAATCAAAAGGTAGTTAAGTCAAACAAAATATATTATCTGACCAAAATGGAGTTAAATTGGAAATCAAAACCAGAAAGATATCTAAAAAAATCCAAAATATTTGGAAACTAGATAATCTACTTCTAAACAACCTGTGTTGAAAAAAGAAATAAAAAGGGAAATTAAAAGGTTTTTTTGTGTGTGTGGAAGATTTGCCCTGAGCTAACATCTGTTGCCAATCTTCCTCTTTTTACTTGAGGAAGATTGTCCCTGAGCTAACTGCTGTGCCAGTCTTCCTCTATTTTGTACATGGGCTGCCACCACAGAGTGGCTGATGAGCAGTGTGTAGGTCTGTGTCCAGGATCCGAACCTGGGAACCCCAGACCGCTGAAGCGGAGCGTGCAAACCTAACCACTATGCCACCAGACTGGCCCCAATTAAAAGTATTTTAAACTAAAGGAAAATGAAAATACAAAATTTCAACATTCATGGGATACAGCTAAACAAGTTCCCAGCAGGGAAATTCACAGCACTGTATGCCTACATTAGAACCAAGAAAAGTTCTCAAGTCAATGATCTCAGCTTCCACCTTAAGAAAATAGAGAAAGAAGAGTAAATAAAACCCAAAGTAAGCAGAGGAGAGAAAATAATAAAGATCTGAACAAAAACCAATAAAAATGAAAGCGGAAAAGCAATAATAGAAAAGCAATGAAGCCAAAAGCAGATTCCTTGAGAAGATCAGGGGGAAAAATAAGAGAGAAGACATAAATTACCAATATCAGAAATGAGAGAGATAACTTCACTAGCGATTCTATGTATATCAAAAGAATAATAAGGGGTATTATGAACAATTTTATGCCAATAAATTTGACAGCTTAGATAAAATAGAGAAATTCATTGAAAGACACAAATTACCAAAGCTCACTCAAGAAGAGATAGATAACCCGAATACCCTACGTCTATCAAAGAAATTGAACTTGCAGTTAAAAACCTTGCAAAGAAAACTCCAGACTGAAATGATATAGCAAACATTTAAGGAAGAAATTATACCAATTCTATATTTATTCTTTGAGAAATGTGAGGATGAGGGAATACTTTCCAATTCATTCTATAAGGCCAGCATTATTCTGATACCAAAATCACATAAAGACATTACCCAAAAAATAAAAACAAAAACAAAAAACTATAGACCAATGTCCCTCAGAAACATAGATGCAAAAAATTTTAATAAGTTTAGCAAATCAAATACCTCAATACATAAAAAGAATAATATCCATGACCATGTGGAATTTATCCCAGGAGTAGTGTAATGTCAATTTAACATTTGAAGACCAACCAATGTACCATTCCACATTAACAGATGAAAAAAGATAACTATGTAATCACATCAGTAGATAAAGAAAAAGCTTTGACAGAATTCAACATCCATTCCTGATAAATACTCTCAGAAAACTAGGAATAGAAAGAGACTTCCTCCACATGCTAAAGCATGTCTTTGAAAAACCTAAAGCTAACATCATACTTAATGGTGAAATACTGAATGATTTCCTCAAAAGATCAGGAAAAAGGCAAGGATGTGCATTGTCATTACTTCTTTTCAACATTGTACTGAATATAATAGAATAAAGAGTCCATAAATAGATCCACACATATATGGTCAAATGATTTGCGACCAAGGTTCAAAGGTGATTTGGTGGAGAAAGAATAAACTTCAATAAATGGTGTTGGAAAAATTAGTTATTTATATGCGGAAAAAAAGAACTTTAATCTGTGTCTCATACATATACAAAAGGTAATTCAAAATGGATCATAGGACTAACTGTAAAACCTAAAACTATGAAACTAGAAGAAATCTTTTACCTTGGGTTAGGCAAAGATTTCTTAAATACAACATCAAAGATGACCCATAAATGAAAAATAATGATAAATTAAGTATTTATGCTCTTTGAAAGACACTGTTAAGAGAATAGGTAAGTCACAGACTGGGAGAAAATATTTGCAAGTTACAGGTCTGATAAAAGACTTGTATCCAGAATTTAAAAAGAACACTCAAAACTCAATAAGAAAACAGACAAATTAAAAAATATTAGTAGATTTGAATAATCATTTCACCAAAGAAGCACAGATGGCAAGGAAGCACATCAAACGATGTTCACTGTATAGTCATAAAAGAAATGTAAACCAAAACTTCAATGAGATACCACTAGGCACCCATGAGAATGTCTAAAATGGAAAAGACTGACCATACCATATGTTATTTAAGATGCGAAGCAAATGGAACTCGTATACATTGCTGGAAGGAATGTGAAATGGTACGACTACTTTGGAAAATAATTTGGCAGTATTCTAAAAAGTTAGACACACATCTATCATATGATCTGGTCATTCCACAACTTAGTATTTACCTAAGAGAAATGAAAGCAAATATCCATACAAAGACTTGTACACAGAGGTTGATAGCGCCTTTATTTGTAATAGCCAAAACCTGAAAACAACCAAAATATTCATCAACAGGCAAATGGATAAACAGATGATGGTATATACATACAATGGAATAGTATTCATCAGTAAAAAGAAATGAACTATTGACACACGCAACATCATGGATGAATCGCAAAATAATTTTGCTGAGTGAAAGAAACCAAACAACGAAACAGTACATACTGTAAGACTCCATTTATATAAAATTGGAAAATACAACCTTGATAGAAAGTAGATAACAGAAAGCGGATCAGTGGTTACCTTTGGCTCAGGGGTTGGGTACAGGGAGTAGATGTGAGGGATTACAAAAGGACATGAGGAAACTTTTGGAGGTGATGAATTTTTTTTTTTTGACAATGGTAATGTTTTCATAGATACATACATCTATAAAAACTTACCAAATTGTACACTTTAAATATGTTGCATTCTATTATATCTCTGTAAAGCTGTTAACTAACAAAGTCGTTTAAAACCCACCTTCTCTGGAACTAGAGAACTAGAGACTTCTGCACCTGAAGCTTTCGTTGAGAGCTTCTCACTTTCCTGCTAGACCACTCCCTCAGCTCTCTACAAAATGCCTCCAAGTCTGTTCTTCTACCAATAGACTCTCCAACTTAGCAACAGCTTTTCCAGTGCCCTGAACAATGTATTTGGTGGCCTAAGTGTAGGTGACATCTGGTCAACCTATTAAAATTATCTATGTCCTCCATTTATATTTCACAGAGGCCTCTCTTAAACACTTTATAAACTCTGGGTGAGTGCAGTATAATATTTTACATGACTAAACTATCAGCAGAGAGTTCAAGATTCAGAAAACTTTAGATCTCCAGAATTGGCAGGAAGAGGAAATTGGAAATAGCAATGCTGTAGAAAGAACCAGTGATCAAATAAAAACCTTAAACTCTTTTCCTTACTACAGCAGATATTGCAAAAAATAAAACTGCAAAGTATGGTAAGTCTGGAAGCCATTGCCTCCTGCCTTTTCCCTGTGGTATAGAATTACCACCCAAGATCTCACAACAAGAGAAAACTAAAATCGCTCAGGTAACTTAGCCTCTGCTTTATTCTATGCATTTTGTTTTATGTGTATTATTACTTATAGTGGCAACTTATTTCATCAGTTTATATTTTTAATAATTTTTTTCCATTTTTTAAAAATTCAGTGAAGCAAAGAGGAAATGATATATAGAATATTTGGCTTCCTGATTTTCATTTCTATTAATGAGAATTATGCCTATTATTCCTGAATATAGCAATTTATATTATTTTATTTAATTAATGCAAATGAGGAATGTGTTTCCTAGTTTTCTGCTTCTTCTTGTTTAGCTAACAAATAGGTCACTGAAGATGGGAACTTCTGGTTATTTGGCAAAATTAATGGAGTCACTGATTAACAGCTTTTCAATACTATTATAATTTACTCAGAAAACATCAAAATAAAGTGTCTTAGATTTTGTTTAAAAAAATCTATTAAATTTAAATTTTTTTTTTAAGTTTAAGTGATAATCCTCAGCACCAAGTAAATAGTTTTTACACTGACCAAACTCTTGGGGGAAACCATGAGTCTCTATAGCTCTATATTTTCCCTCACTTTCTTTAAATTACACGGGCTTACCCATATGTTTGAGAGGTTGCCCAGCATGGGAGCCTCAGTTGGGCTATCCAACAAATGGCCTTCTATTGTTCACATGGAGCTAACAGCTTAGCAAAGCTGCTGGGGAGGACCTTCAGTCTAGCTCATCTCCTGGGGGTAGGGAGGGTCTCATGGTTCCTCCTAAAACTACACATATAAAGTAGTACCTTCCCCTCCCACAGCTGAGGTAGATAGAATTGTGGGAGGCTGAGGAGATGTGGAAGTGATATACCTCACATAATATGCTCAAAAATACTGCACAGACGTCTTAAATATGCATCTGCATGATGGTGCATCTTTCCAAAATCAAGCATTATTCTTAATCCACCTCCCCTCAAAAATCATAAGTCTGGTTGACTATGAAGTTGTCCATCTACATGAAGAAACCAGGTATTTGTATAAGTTTACTAGAAAATACTTCTACAGTCTTCCATCCTCCACTCTAGTGCCCTGGAATTGAAACCCTGAGGGCCATGGTTAGGCTAGTGAGCCTACGACTGGCAGCCTTCTCAGACTCTATTCCAAGCAGTTCATGAGGCTTACTACCACCACTTCCAGGTTGGTGTCCTCTCTTACCTGAGTTTAATGTCCATCAGATTTAGAAATCCTTGGGCTTGGGGGAGGGTGCCCTGGGTCCTTGTATTATAACCTGTTATTCAGTTCCCAACTGTCAGACCAACGCAGGCCCAGTGCTAGCACTGCGGGCAAGATCAGTAGCTGGAAAACCCTGAGGTATAGCCTGCCAGAGGTAGATTGAACAGGTGGGTTGAGAGAATCTAAGGCTGTAGTAAGGAGACCAAGAGGACCATAGCCAAAGACAAAGTCCAAAGGACACAAATAGGAGTATAAACAGCAAGGTTTCTAGCCAAGAGAGCTAGAAACAAAACACCATTAGACAGGATGATTGGGTTAGAAAAAAAAAAAGCAGTTCACAAATTACGGGGCTCTCTGTTTTATATAGGGACCACTTGTAAGAGAGGACACTGTCTTCTAAAGGAGCCAAACAGGGCCGTGAAAGTGTCACAGACTGAACAAAAAAAAATATTCACACCAAATAAAGTAGTAATCTCACTCATGGGAATTTATAGAAAGGAAGTAACTCAAAATGATATATCTATTTATGAGAAGAGGTCCTTCACAGTGTATGATTTTTTTAAAAAACTGTGTGTCAAACATGGAGAAATAAATGACCAATTGTGGAATATCAAGTTAATAGTACATTATGCAGCTATTACAATGAGTAGCACCAAGAATATGTAATAACGTGGTGTAATAGTAAGAGACAGGAAGAGATAAAGATAGATAAAGATGGTCTCTCAAGAATCCAGCTGTCCTATGTGATTGGCATATTTCTGACGAGTTGTGTATAGATCATGTTTTACAAAGTGAGCCCTATCATTTGATGCACTCTGTCATATCTGTACCTTCATATGACAGAAACTTCTAACACTAGCTCTGTTTCACCAGGAATTGCTTCTTCTACAACTTTTAAATAGACAGTAAAACAAAATATTTTGTTGAATAAACAAATAAATATTCAAAAGAGAATATTCCCTCTTCCAGTGATTTTTTAAAAATTCAACACCTTATATAATTAAATCTGGCTTTCTTAAGGAAGGGCAAACTATTAGTGATATTCAGTCTACCTCACCAAGCCTCCGTGACCCTCTTTTAGCTTTCTTCCATAGTTTTCCAAGAATACCATCCCTCACTCCTCTGCGCAGTGGGAGAGAGCCTGGTGGCCATCCATTCTCATTCAGACCTCAGTCCTGCCCCATTGACCAAAAAAAGCAATGCTCCATCCTTTCACAGGGGATGCAGAAAAACTTTTATTGGCAAGATTGGGTACCTTCTGTACTTGGCAGAATGACATAGGAGAACATATGGCTCATTCATCTTTCTTAAGTGAGAGATCCATAATCATGTAATTTTGTTCATATTTTATGGTCCATGGATGTTCCTCTAACTTTAGCAAGGGATTGTTTGAATTGTAGTTCTTGTACCTCAGTCATGGACATATGGGCCTTTTATCTGTTCAGCTTCTTGATCCTTCTCTGGGAAAAAGAAAAGTCCACACCCTGGAATCACCTTGCCTTTCTTGTCTCCTCCCCTCCTGCATCTTCTATTAATCATGCTTGTTTCTGATCTGAGCAAACTCATTCCCAAAGCTGAAGAAGTTCAGAACAATTTCTAATATTTGAACAGCTGACCTTGGGTAAAACCAATATTTTACAGTTCCTCTTAATTTTAATGCCATGCTTTTCCACTTCTCCCTGGCCTGCCTCTATAGCTGATTTATCCAGATGAAAATGTTTTAATTGCTTTAAAATCAGAAGGAAAAAATAAATATAATTCAGCTTGTATTATAGTCAGCTTAATACCAACACAGTTGTAAAATATATTTTGTAACATTTTTTAGTGAAGGAGAGTTCCACAACAGCAAAATGGCCTGGGGCCCAGGAAAATCATGTGGCCCTGCCTGGCCCTGAAGCTTCCCCCAGGGTGTCTGAGTTTGTCTATCTGTCTTATGTTGATGCAAGTAAGGCCTGAGTCATGGCTCTCCTTTTTGGTTTCAGGATGTAGGACAATCCTTAATGCCGTCCATGCTGACTGACTTAGTGTGGAGTCTCCTGATGAGACTTTCTGCATCTGATTATACAACTGCATCCGAGGCGGCAACCCTGTTGAAATTGACTCTGGAATATCACGCCCATAAGGTCACCATGGTAAGATGCTTGACCGTGAGCAGGGAGCACAGAGTTTGTTCTCTAAAGAGCTCTTATTGAATTTGTTATATGCCTACTTCATTTCATATATATGTCTTGCCATTGTTCATTACGTCACTTTAATCAAATGAGGCTATTTTTGTGAAATATTTCAAGTTACAGAAAAGTTCAGAAAATAATGAAATGAACATTCACCACCAATCATACCAAATCATAATATTTTGCTGTATTTGCTTCAAATTTTTTAAAGAAATACATTAATAATAACAAAATAGTACAGCTATAATTAAAATCCCCTTTCTAATCATTAAGGAAAGTTTTCAAGGACCCTCAGCTTGCTGTAGAGCTGGCTACATAATTTGCAGGGCCTATTGCAAAATGAAACGTGAGCTTCTTGTTCAAAACATAGGAAAAAAGTACCATTAAATGTACAAATATATGACGCTTTTTCCTTTCCTCCAGAGTCTCTCTCTCTGTTTGTCATGGTGTTTTTATTTTCTATTTAATATCTCTCTAAGTAAACAATTGAAGTTTTAAATTAATGGCGTGAATTTTACCATCCATCTTTATATTGTGCAATGGCAGTTATAGATGTAAATATAACAGCATTTAAGTCATATGCAGAATCAACAAAATAATGTAATTCATATTTCTTGGCTTGTCCATGCATATGTATTTTATTCTTACCAGAAGAGTGGAAACAGTACATAAAACTCAGTTGTCTTTGTTTCATTTCTTGTCACTCACACATTCTATTAATGCTCTCTACCTTCAGCGTATTGATGAATAAGGAAAGACTGAAAGGAAAAGGATTTGTGGGTTTCCCATCTTTCCTTTTCCTTATATGTCATCATTATCAGCCTAAGTGTTTGAGGCTTCAATAAATGCTTATCTTACACTCACTTTGATTTCCCACTGAGCTATTACACATGGTGGGTGTACTGTGCACTTAGGGTATCATAAAGGCTGCATATGAATGGACTGCAGGAACCACAGCTGACTCACATATTGCATAGATCTCCTCTGCTCACACGCATCCTGATGGGTGAAGTCCCATGGGACTTCACTTACAAAACAAGAGCTCAAAAATAAAATTATTAAAAATTTCAAGATGGCGGCAGCAGAGCTTTAAACAAAATGAGGGGACCTTCTGAATGTGGGACCCTGTGCAAATGCATAGATCACATGCCCATGAAACCAGCTCCCTGAAACTCCCAGTTCCCTCTCCTGACATAGCAGTGTTATGTGATTGAAAATAAACTGGGAGTTCATACTCAAATTCAGAGAGCAGGAAAGAGGAAGTAATGCTTCTTGAAGAACTCCAATGCTGCTAGTCAGGAGCATTCCAGAAGGCAGGCACAGCCAAGGGGAAAGCTGGAGGGCAGCAGTCTTTTCCTTGACAAAATAAAGTTCTCCTCTCATGCAGTGAGAGAGAGCACCAAAAGGGAGGCTAGATAAAGCCATATCATGTTTCTGGAGCGGAAGAAAAGCCAAACAGAAAACTAGATGTGTAAAATTAGCTTCTGCTACAGTAAAATCATTAAACACAGAGAAAAAACTGAACAAAAACGGGGTTCAGCAGCTTACTGCCCCGTCCCAGGTCCCACAAACTATTGAACTAATAAATACACTGGATTCTTGTCTTAAACAGAGTTAGATTCTAAAGTCAGTTATAATGAGAAATTGTGTGTGATTAAAATTATCCCTGAAAATCTCCTAAATCGCACATATAGTATGTGGGCTTACAGTCTCTAAATAAATCTAACACAGCAAGTCTTTCCTTGAGGATTAAAACAAATCATCATTTCTATAATTAAGCATCCGGTAACATATGGGCTTGTTTCAGGGATATGCTGCATTTAACGGAGGAGGAGAAAGAAAAGTTCTAAACCCAATAGTTAAGAGGTCAATGGAGAAGAACAATGGTTTAATGTCTCCCATTTCATGCTCACCTTGGAGCATATGTGGCAGGAGGAATGTCCTGCACTACTTAACATTTCATTTATGTTTTTTCTTTTGTTTAGAGTAGAGGATTGTGCACAGATAATTGCATTGTATGTTATGCAATTGCAATGGAATGTAAATTTACATCATCCAACTTTTCAGTTTATGATCTCTAAGGAGTATTTTCAAAATAAGAAGTGAGGTGATCTGGGTGGATTAAGTTGATGCTGCATACACAACCATTGATATAAGACAAATTCCAGGTCTAGCTAGAACTCTCCTTGTTCAAGAATGAATAAAAAGGGGAAAAAATAAAACTAACATGAGGCCTGTGAATAGAGTTTGCAAAATTTTGACTCAATGTTTACTGTTCTGGGCCATTCCTCCAACACATGGTTCACTTCATTGATATGTAGATTCAAATCTTCTTTAATTTTCAGAGAGGGTTTTTTTTTTTTATGTATATAGTTCCATTGTTATTCTGTTCCATTATTTTTACTTTCTTCTTAAAGGACTTGAATTATACATGTGTTTGCTGTACTGAGCTTGTATGTCTTGTATAATGAAGTCTACCCCCTAAAGATAAAATTTTACAAAATGGGTATTTTTCTACTGTCTGTAAATGCACAGGTTTATTCCTCAACCAAATAAATATTTTGCATTGTGTATTCAAGCACATAAATATGCTTTCTGCTGGTGTTTATTTGTGTGTTAAGTGCTGCCTTGTTTATTCTGAGAAGGACTGAATTCTTATGTCCAAGAAATACCTTGGTTTAGTGGTAGCCATGAAACAAGAGACTCTTGTCGACCTGTGAAATTACTTTTCCAGATGTCTAAGATTGTGGATGCTATTTATAAGCAATTGTGTGGAAATCCTTCTCACATTATGAAGCAAGCTATGTTGCAAGTCATCGCCTTATTGACACTCGCTTCACCGAAGAAGGTCATCTTTCAACTAATGGACTACCCAGTCCCAGCAGACAAGTAAGGGCCCCCCTGCCCTTTCTGCAAGGGTTTGTTCCCGGTCTCCAGAGTCAGACAGACTGGACAGGTCTGGTCTGGTTTCTTTTTATCTGAAAGAGAATATCTATTTTCACATCAACAAGGTTGATTGTAAGGCTTAAATAAGATCATATGTATTATTCATATCTTTGTACAATACCTGGCACACAGTAGACCATCAAGAAGTGATCATTGTCACTATCATTTAACTGAGGCTTTAAATTGTGTTCTACTGCATATTCCATAGAAACAAATCTCTCCTCAAACTGATAATAGGCTTTTCCCTCATATGTGATAAAAGTCATAGAGTGTTTTTCTCATTTATGAAGTACCGATGTAGGATATTTCCACCCACCAATAAAACAATGAATCATTAAATATTCCCTGATATAATTGGGAGCGCCTTGTCCATTAACTGTTCATCTGAAATTCATGATCCAGGATCATGAGAAATATTAAAGAAGAAAAGAATGCTACTGTGAGCCCATGGGACAGTATGAATCTAACAGGCATGTTAGAAGAGCTTAGTAAATCATACCACTCCATTTCTATCATTGATACATTGGAAAGTAAGATATTACTTCTGTACTATCAACAGTGTAAAAGGTAGGAGGTTATAGGATACAGGCTTTGAAAACAAATGAATCTGAATTCCAACCCAGCCTTGACCCTTACATTCTGTGTGACATCAAGCAAGTTTCATAAAATTCTTGAGCCTCAATTTCTTCATCTGTGAAATGAGGAAAGTTCTTTCTATCTATAAAGCTGTTATATGGGTTAAATGAGTTGATGTCTGTGAAAGGTATCAAAATCAACAAAATGCTAAACAAATTATATAACTGACTTGCTCTTTCCAACTGAAAGATTGTATTTATTTAAGAAACTTAAACTCATAAAGCATTTTACTATTTAGAAGATTCCTGGAAACTAAAAATCTTCATAAGACTCAATGTTTTCTCATTCAGGAACTAAGCCCCCACTGTGTGTAAAGTATTTTTAAATTTTTAAATTTATGTAGTTTTTTAATCTATTTAGGATTTTTTAATTGATATGTTTATTTATATATTAATTTGTATTTCCCTTCCAGTTTTTAAATGTCCTATTATCCCTGGACAAACAAGGTCACAAGGTGGGAGAAACAGAGTGTGGGGTGCAGAAAGCTGATCAGTTCTTGACAGTGAGCTGGACAGATATTTAAACAGCAGTAGGAAATGAACTTGCAGACTTGCAGGCTGTATTTTCCAGAAGACCTTCTGAAATTCTTCCTCTGTTTTCAAGGACAAGAGTCTGAATGAGATCATTGGGAAATGGGAATATCAGTTTGTTTTGCACTCGTTTGCAGTATCTTTGCCATATAAAGATGTAAAACCAAGACTCTTTTCCTGATTCATGTCACTGTATTAAGTAGGGAATGAAAAACTTATGACTCTTTTTCCGGGTGTGGGGTTGCGTTCACAGCACTTTGATACTGATGTGGCATACGGCCGGTTCTGTGTCCAGCGTGGCCCCTCATGTGCTGAAGACCATTTTGTTGATCCTGAAAGGAAAGCCTGGGGAAATGCACGATAACCTAATGGAAAGAAGACGCTTCTCTATCGATGCTACTAACATGATGCCCATGGCGGTAAATAATATGATGAGTGTTTCTTTTTCTCAGCGCTGTCTACCTGATCATGAAAATCCCTATCTGCCCACAAGCTCAGTCATTCTTCCTCGATACAGTCCTGCTCTCATTCATTCATTCATTCATTCAACACATATTTATTGAGTGCCTACTATGTGCCACACCCTGATGATGGAGCTTACATTCTGGTAAGAAACACAGACAATGAACAAATAAATGTGTCATATGTCGGGTCATATAAAGCTCAGAAGAAATGTAAGGTGGTGTGGGGAAAAGAAAGCGTCAGGGAGGGTTTAGGTAAGTTGCTCAGGGCCGGCCTCTACACTGAGGTGACATCTAATCAGAAACCTGAAGGAGGTGAGGGAGTGATCCTTGCAGGGATCAGGGCAAGAGAGTTCTAGAAAGAGAGACAGGCAAAAGCCCTGCAGTGATAGGAGCTTACCCGGCAGGTCAGTGAATGCAAGGAGGCAAAGAGTCTGGAGAGAATTGAGCAAGGGTGAAAGTATAAGAGATGATGTCACAGAGGTGACACCAGCCAAATCATATAGACTTTTATAGGCATGTGGGGGCCAAATCTCATTTGTGACCATCATTATGTATCTCCCAAGAACCAAAATCTCCACTCCTGTGGGTAAATGCAAGTCTTACAGAGATATAGTAGAAAAAAATGGATGATGCTTCACAAATGTGAGGTGGTGGGATATGTTTCTCTGACGCATGAGTACTGCAGCGGGCGGGTGAGCCAAAAGATTTGTTAGTGACCTGGCGTGCCCCTCCTTAGATATCCCACTGCCCTGTATTGTTTAAGCACAAGGAGGACCTGGGTTATTAGTAGGACTATTCTTCGTGGCGACATATGAAGGGGACCTTGGGATGTATGCCCTTCTGGGGCAACAGCTTGCTTCCCACTGGTTTGGCAGCTGAGGGATTATTGACACTGCTTTGGGAGCCCCTTGCATAGAATGCTTGGCACAGTCCCTGGTTAAGAATGAACTTTGTTATTGAATGAATGAATACACGCGCATGCTTCAGGCTTCCTTCAAGCAAGTTGAGGGAGGAGTTGCAGAGTCCCTCCCTTCACCCCCTCACTAAGGATGACTAGCTTTAGAGAGAAACGGTTACATTCTTGACTCCTTTTTCCTTTCCTTATAGGCATCCCAGGCCCTATGCACATTGCTGCCTGTTGGTTCTTACAAGAAAGCAGTGGCCCAGTTTTTCCCCCAGCTCCTGATGGCTCTCCTGTGTCAACTCTTTTACAGCAGCAACCAGAAACTGATGACAGGGGACGGGCCTTTGTGAAATAGTAGTGATTATTTCAGATTGAATAAGAAATACGCTTCCAGCTGTCAACTATTTCTACTCCCTTGGGTTCATGTGGAACGCTTTATAATCCCATATACAGTGTGCTCATTTATTACAGTTTTCTCTCCTCTGAAGGGTAGAATGCCTTCAGAAAAGTAGCTATCTTAAGTATCTAGAAGTTAGCTAGGACCTTACCTGAGTATGCATGTAGTGTATGAAGAACCACTCCCACATTCCTGCCACAATGGGAGGCCACGGGGGGGGGGGGG